GCCCTTGCCCTTGCCGTTGGTGCCCTTGGTGATCCTTGGTGTTCTTGCGTGCGCCCTTGTTCCAGTAAGTGTCGGGGTGTTGGGCTGCCCATTGTGCGGCCCGTTTGTCCTTCCTCCGCCTTGCGAGACCTGCGCCGATCGCAGGCTCAGGTGGGCGCGTCGGTGGTCCCCCGCTTGGCGCGCGGCTTGAGGTTGGTCTCAATGGCGGTGACGTGCTCGACGGCCTGCTCGCGGTTGCTCCATGTTGTGCCGCCATTGTAGGAGCTTGTGGTGAATGTCGCGGTGGCCGTTGGGCACTGTGGCGTGCTTCAAACAATTCTCAAGCAGTGTGGAGGTGGTGCTGAATCGTGCTGCTGCTCGTCGTTCTCATTCTCGTCGATGCTAAGCTGGGTTGGCGGAAGACGAAGTCGTGGTGGTGCTGACGTCACCTGTGTGGTGGATGACGGCGTCACCTGAGGAAAGATCAAGAAGTAGGCGAAACGGAATGTGACGAGTAAGGCTGATGGGGATGTAAAGGTAAGGTTTGGAAGGTTGAAAACTTCGATCGGAACTGGCCCCCGTAGGGCTGGAGCACCTGCCACGATATTGGTCAACCGTGGTTTCCTCCTCTTCCTCCTCCTCCCCCTCCTCCTCCTCCTCCTCCTCCTCCTCCTCCTACTCTTCCTGCTCCTCCTCCTCCTCCTCCTCCTCCTCCTCCTCCTCCTCCTCCTCTACCTCCACTTCCACTTCCACTTCCACTTCCACTTCCACTTCCACTTCCACTTCCACTTCCACTTCCACTTCCACTTCCTCCTCCTCCTCCTCCTCCTCCTCGTGCTCCCCTTTTTGTTCCTCCTCCATCCTCCCCCTCTTGGAGTATGACGGCTTCCCAGCCTTTCTTCCACTGGGCTCTCCCCCACACACGCCGGATCGCTGCAACTCGCCTGGGCATCGCTTCTGGATGGGCTGGCGGGCTTACGCGAAGAGTTGAACATCTGTTGGGTCGGCTCTGGACCCCCATCCCCGGCGCGCGGAGCGCGCCAGGGGCGGCGCCGGAGGCGCCGCCAGGGGTGCCCAGCGCCGACCCGAGAAACTTTCGCGGAGCTCCGACAGTTTTTGGCGGCGCGCACAAGGGGGTGGAGGGAGGGGGGAGGGCTTCGTAGAAGGAGGCTGCTTCTCAGAAGGCGCCAGCCTCACATCTGTAGACAAGGCCCGCGCCGTCGGAGAAGCAGGGGGGTGCTTCTAAGCAGCCCTCGCCCCTCCCCCCCGCCCCCCTCCACGCGTGGCTGAAGTTTGTGATACTGATGGGAGAAAAATGTTTACACCATTTCGGGTTGAGCTGCGAGTCGGATGGCACTGCTGCTCCCCCGCGCCCCCGACTTAAAAAATTGACAGTTGTGATATCTCCCGGGGCCCTTCGAAAAAACAAAGATACATCCCATCTCAGCATGCGCGCCCGCTCTCAATGCGAAGGTCGGGGGCAGGGGGGGTCGTATCATCGGTTGTCGTGCCGCCCAGGTGGTGCAAACTCGTTTCTCCCAACCGCAGCACAGTTTTTTCTTCGTCGAAGGCCCGCGAAGTCCAGCTGCACTTTGGCGTCGACGGCCCACTCGGCGGGCAGAGCGGCGCCCCCCCCCCGCTGCCGCGGCACCCCCGCTGCTGCGGCCGCGCCGCCGAGGGCGGGCGCGGCCTCCTCGGCGTCGCGCCTGGCCCGCTTGCGCAGCGGGAGCTCCTCCTCCGCCTGCACGGTTTCCCCCGCGGCCGCAGGCGACCCGAGGAGGAGGAGGAGGAGGAGGAGGAGGAGGAGGAGGAGGAGGAGGAGGAGGAGGAGGAGGAGGAGGAGGAGGAGGAGGAGGAGGAGGAGGACGGGTCGCCGAAGCCCTTCGGAGAAACCCTCCGCCTCCGCCTGGAGCGCATCTCGGGACGCCTTCCAGATGTCGAACATCAGGCCGCTCGCCGGGCGGCAGGCCTCGTCGAGCGTCGTCGGCCGCGCCCAGCGGAAGCTGAGGAGCGCGGGCGACGGCTCGAGGGGGCGGCGGGCAGAGGCCAGCACGGCGGACAGGGGCGGCGAGCGCGCCTCCGCCCGCGAGGCCACGTACAGGCTTACGCTGATCTGGGGCGGGCACTTGGTGTGCTGCTCCGGCACGGCAGTGGGCACGCCGGCCCTGACGTGCACGGCGGTTCCGCCGAGCAGCAGGATCGCGGTGTCGCCGATCAGCATGGGCCTGTCGGCGCCGAGTGCCAAGGTGAGCTGCCCCAGCCTGAGGCTGTGCAGCGGGGAGCTCGCCTTTTCGTCGTCGTGTCTGCTCAGGACACAGCACAGCGGTATGAGCTGTTCCTGGGCGACCTTGCTCGCCTTGGTCAGCAACCTCTTCAACAACGGGTCCAAGTCGGCGTCCACCTGATCGTATTGTAACAAATACCTATTCTGAGAACGCCTCCAACCGTCACGCTTGCCCATCAAATTCTCCAACACACCATCAGGGACTTTGACCCGGAAGGGGGCAGGCGCCGCCGACATGGCTTCGACAAACAACTATGATACAGGCCGCTGAGTTGCTTAAAGGACACATCTAAAAACTGCTACACGCCGCCAATACAATGACTCAGAACATATTGAATCGAGATTGCTGGAGCCGGAATGGTTTCCCGCGTCATCCGCTGCACCCTCCATCCTCCCCGCTCGGCAGAGACACGACGCGGGCTGCCGATCCCGCGGCGGTCGAAAGAGGCAACAATAAGGAGGGACAGGGAAGAACGCGGCGGCCCGCCACTTCTTTCCTTCCCACCCTCCTGGCCTCCCCCTTCTCCACCTCTCCTGCTCCTCGTCCTCGTCCCCCCAGCTCGGGGGGGGCCCTTTGCCCTGCCCTGCCCCAGCTCGGGGGGGGTCCTGGGACGCACAGAGAAATGCGCATGCTACACGCGGAAACAAACAGCGCCAAGTTGCGTTCCATGATCATTGACGCGCTATCGTGGCGCCAGCGTGCGCAGCAAGAAGAGGGGCGCGGCGCTCATCCTGCGCGAGATGGAAGAATGTTGCTCACGATTCGGCGCCGGGCCCATTATCCTCGGAACTGAACTCCCGCCCGGGTGCTGCGCGCACTTGTCGTTCGCTGTTGTCGTTGTCCTTGGCTAGTTCGCACTGGCAGCTCGCTCGAATGCGTCTGCTCATCGTCATTCTTCCCAGGCTGCTGAAGGACGCGCCACTGCGAGCTGGGTGACCCCCGAGCCCCAGCGGCAGTGCCTGCAGCAGCCGCGCACCGCAACCGATGCGCCGTCCCAGCACGCTTCTGACTGGACCCCTTCCCGGGGTCCGGACGCAGTTGAAGGGGCCCTGGGACGCACAAGCAAATGCTCACAAATAACAGGATCCCCATGTTTTCCTATATATATATATATACATATATACGTACATACATACATACATACATACATACATACATACATACATACATACATACATACATACATACATACATACATACATACATACATACATACATATATATATTTTATATATACATTTACATATACATATATATAATGTATATATATAGGTGTGTATATATACATACATATATATGTATATACCCTTTTCTATATTTTTATAATCCTGGGGGGTGGACCCCCCCCCCGAAATAGGATCCTCCCCAACCGGGACTTCCGGAAACGGGACCCCTCACGAGGATCGCAGCCTCCGAGCGCGAAAATTAGCGCTCTCCATCCAAAGAGGAAGGTGAGAGGACACGCGAGGCTCCTTGGACCTCCCGGGAGGCTTTCTCGAGGCTCCTACGAAGGCCCAAGAGGGTCTCAAGAGCCTTCCAGAGTCCTCCGAAGAAGCCCCCGAGAGATGAAAATCTGTGATTTCCTATGGTTTTTCTAAGATTTTTGCTTCTTTGCATGTTCACTGTTCCGACGTGCCAAGACGGCCGAAGACGCCCACAAGACCGATGCCAGACGGCTCAAGAGGCCTCCAAGCGAGTCCGAAACCGGCCCAAGACAGCCCCGACACGGCCCAAGGGGTGCCCAAGACGGCCCCAGAGAGCCCCAAGACGGCCTTCAGAAACGGCACCCCTCACGAGGATCGCAGCCTTCCAGCGCGAAACTGAGCGATCTTCGTCCGAAGAGGCACCTACGAGGGTACGCGAGGGTCCTCGGGTTGCCTTAAAAGCTTCTTAAAGGTTCCCCCGACAGCTTGAGAAGGCCCCACGAACCTCGCAGAGTTCTCTGAAGAAGGCCCCAAGAGATCAAAATCATTAATTTCCTATGGCTTTCCTAAGATTTTGGCTTCGTTGCATGTTCACTGTTCCGACGTGCCAAGACGGCCGAAGACGCCCACAAGACCAATCCCAGAGGGCCCAAGCAGCCTCCAAGCGAGTCCACAGCCGGCCCAACAGAGCCTCCAGACGGCCCAAGCCGTGCCCAAGACGGCCCCAGAGAGCCCCAAGACAAGCTTCAGAGAGAGCTTAAAAGGGGAAAAACATACAATTGCAACGCGCTCGGCTCCCACACGGCCACGCGAGGCCCCAAGCCCCTTCCAGGAGGCCACAAGAAGGGCCACAAGGCGCGCAAAAGGCTTATGATTTCAAGGACTCTGCACCCAGACGCCCACACGAAGCTCCAAGACTCCTCAACGGCTCCCCAGACGTGCCACGAGGCGCCCAAGAGCCGCCAAGAAACATTCACGAAGTTCCCCCACGACGCCCCACAAGGCCTCTAAGAACCTCCACGAGTTCTCCGAAGAAGGCCTTTATAATCCTGGGGGGTGGGACCCCCCCCCGAAATAGGATCCTCCCCAACCGGGACTTCCGGAAACGGGACCCCTCGCGAGGATCGCAGCCTCCGAGCGCGAAAATTAGCGCTCTCCGTCCAAAGAGGAAGGTGAGAACGAAACCCATACATAACGTTCGTAGAGCCTGCCTGTCCCAAAGCCGCGTCAGCACGCCTCCCCGCGCCCCCCCTGCCTCATATCTTGCAGTATAAAGCTGCATTCTGGTCAGAATCCTGGGTTCGCACCTTTTTTAAAAAGAAATTTGGTTGCGAACCCGGGATTCGATAAGTTTCCCTCTGAAGTCCTTTTCTTGCATTCCATTTGCCCCTTTCGTTGCTTCGAACACCAAGTTCTCCCACTCCCCCTCCGCAACCTCTGCACATTCGCAATGCGAGCCCGCGAGGACCCCTCGAAGGGACCGCAGGATACCGCGAGAAGCCAGCCGATCCAAAGCTTCAAGGAACAAGATGCATGGCGCGAAGCGCCTATGCAACCTTGTGTGTGTATATATATATACTTACACACATATATATATATAGAGAGAGAGAGAGAGAGAGAGAGAGAGAGAAAAAAAAATACGGTAGGCGTCCTTTGGCCTTGCCGCATGCTCCCTGGCCTTTGGCCGGGGCGCGCGGGGTCAGCCTGCTCGGAAGCCGCCGTGGCAGATGGTTCTGCCTGCCGGCGCCTTGCCAGAGCTTCAGTCCACCCATCCGCCGCCCCTGGAGGAAGGAGGGGCGCCGACGGGGCTGCCGCCTCCGCCGCCGCCGCCGAGAGGAGGGGGGGCGAAAGGGCCGCCCGCCGCAGCTGCCGTCGCGACGTTGGCCGCGGACTGCAGCGCCGCGCCGTCAGCCTGAGGGCCATCAACGCTCGCCCTGCGCGGGGGGGTCAGGGCCCACCCGTAACGAGACATCGTCGGGGCACCGCGCCAGGACACCAACGCGGATGACCAGGGACCCCGCGCCCCGCCGGCCAGGGAGCCAGGGGGAGGAAGGGAAAACGGATACGCTCCTTCGAAGACGCTCTGGCACCGCCGGCCGCCGCCGGCCCGACTTCCGCGACGCCCCGCGGGAAATCTTCCGCGAGCGACCGTTGAGAGGAATCCGCCGCTTCGTGCGCGAACACTTCCAACCGCCACCGCCTCGGGGCGCTGGGGCCCCCCGTTCCGCTGCCTTGCAAAGCCTCCATGACCTGCAGGGCCAGCTGCGCCGCGGCGAGCTGCAACTGGACTCGCCGGCGTGGGCTCGGGTCCGCGTGATACTTGGCCGTCACCCGAGGCTGAGCTCCCCACCACCCCTGGGGGACTGCCAGCGGCCCCTCCTCCAACGCCCTTCTGGCTTGGAGAAACCTCGGGCAGTCCGCCCAGAAATGGCGAGCAGAAGCCCTGTCAAACCCGCACCAAGAACACGCCGTTAATCGACCCTGCCCAGACCAATGGCGGGTCGGCGTCCACGCGGCCCCGGCCCGCCACACGGAAAGGCAGAAGCGCTTCCGCGGAGGAAGCCGGCGACGTCAGCTAGACCAGTCTGGATGGAGCTTCGATATCCACCGCGCCCAGCATTTCCTCGTCGTGCGGCGCCCCAGCCCTGCGCTCCAGCAGCAGGGAGGCCCGCGCGCAGACGCGAAGGACATGCTGGCCCCGGGGGCTCGACGCGTCGAACGCACCTCCAAGGTGGCGCACCCCCGCCCGGGCACGGCGGTCCAGGCCAACCCCTGGAACCACCCAGATGCCCTCCGGGAGGGGGCCGGGCAAGTCCGCCATGCGCAGCCCCAGCTTGCAACAGTGGGTATCCAGGAGGATGGGCCCCAGGAGGATGGGGAGGAGGAGGAGGAGGAGGAGGAGGAGGAGGAGGAGGAGGAGGAGGAGGTGGAGGAGGAGGAGGGAGGAGGAGGAGGAGGAGGAGGAGGGGGAGGACGGCAGCGAATGGGGAGGAGGAGGAGGCAGGAGGAGGAGGAGGAGGAGGAGGAGGAGGAGGAGGAGGAGGAGGAGTAGGACGGATGAGGAGGGAGAGGAAAATTAGGAGGAGGAGGAGGAGGAGGAGGGGGAGGAGGAGAGGAGGAGGAGGAGGAGGAGGAGGAGGAGGAGGAGGACGACGAGGGAGGAGGAGGACGAGGAGAGTGAGGAGGAGGAGGAGGCGGAGGACGGGAGGAGGGGGAGGATGAGGGGAGGAGGAGAGGAGGAGGCGGAGGAGGAGGAGGAGGAGGCGGCGGAGGAGGAGGAGGAGGACGAGGAGGAGGAGGGAGGAGGGTGGAGGTGGAGGTGGAGGAGGAGGAGGAGGAGGAGGAGGAGGAGGAGGAGGAGGAGGAGACGAGGAGGATGGAGGAGGAGACGAGGAGAGCGAGGAGGAGGAGGAGGAGGAGAGGAGGAGAGGATGGAGTGAGGAGGAGGAGGTAGACGAGGAGGAGGAGGAGGAGGAGGAGGAGGAGGAGGAGGAGGAGAGAGGAAGAGGAGGAGGAGGAGGAGAGAGGAGGAGGAGGAGGAGGAGGAGGAGGAGGAGGAGGAGGGAGGGGGAGGGGGAGGGGGAGGGGGAGGGGGGGGGAGGGGGGGGGGGGAGGGGGAGGAGGACGTGAGGACGGAGGGACGGGGACGGAGGCCGGAGGACGGAGGTCGGATGATGAGTGATGCTGATGCTGATGCTGTGCTGATTTGATGATGATGATGATGATGATGATGATGATGCTGATGCTGATGCTGATGCTGATGCTGATGCTGCTGCTGCTGCTGATGATGATGATGATGATGATGATGATGA